TATATATATATATATATATATATATATATATATATATATATATATATATATATATATATATATATATATATATATATATATATATATATATATATATATATATATATATATATATATATATATATATATATATATATATATATATATATATATATATATATATATATATATATATATATATATATATATATATATATATATATATATATATATATATATATATATATATATATATATATATATATATATATATATATATATATATATATATATATATATATATATATATATATATATATATATATATATATATATATATATATATATATATATATATATATATATATATATATATATATATATATATTGTGATTGGGATTTTTGAAAGTATTGCATTGCTTTAAAAACATTTATTATTACCATTTGTTGAGTCCTACTATACAGTTTGATAGAGCGCTTGGACCCAGAAGCTGCTTTGCTTGAAGTCACACTTAACTAGCAGATACATAGATATTGATTCATCTTTCAGTAACATAAAATTAAATAAATAATTAAAATACTTTTTTTAAAAGCTTTTACGTATTATTTTTTATGCTATTATTTCCCCCCTTTGAAACATTGAAACCAAATAACCGTTCATTAGTGACTGTAAAAACTTAAGTGTGCATTTGTTTTTTGTTTTTTTTTGTAAAGTCATCAATTTCAAATCATTGTTTTCTCGCTCTGTTGTCTTATTTTTTTAAGTTTCCTACTATAGCTGCTTGTGTTTTTTTGCCATTTGATGTTGTCTGTGTTTTTTTTTTTAATGTTGTATGTCTGTCTGTGTACCAGGTGCTCGCATTGAAGAGTTCCTGTATGAGAAGCTTGACCGGAAGATTCCACCACGGGCCACCAATGGAGAGATTTTATCCCAGTTCATGCTGGAGGCTGCGAAGGAGTTTGGACCGGGAACACCATATGGTAAGAGTCTACTCTCAGAAATTAGTCTAAACACTGTGATTATCATTCATTTATGGGTGATTCTAGAATTGCTGGTATATTTGCATAAATTTAGAGAATAAAAACTTTAATTAAATAGTTTTAAATAATAACACAAATGATATCAAGTCATCTTTAAATAATAACGCCCCATTCACACGGGACGTCAGCGTCAACGCTTCTCATTCACTTTGAATGGGTGATGTCAGGCATTGCCGAACTACATTGTGGACCCGTCGGCACCGCTTCAGAGGCGATGCTCGCTGCAGAAGTTGGGACTAGCTCAACTTTTCAAGTGCCGACGGAAGCGTCAGCCAATCAGATCACTGTATGCAAATACACCAGCTGGACAGTGGCCTATTGCTGACTGAATTTCATTGGCTGATGCTTCTATGACGATCGCTTCAGCCCCAACGTCAGACACGCCTTCAGTCAAGCTTTGACGCTGAAGCCCCGTGTGAATGGGGCGTAAGCATGACGCAATACTCAATATAATATTAAACCATTAGGTATGACCTCCATGGTTCAATAACCGTGTAAAAAACATTTTATTCCTGCTTTCTGTGTTTTAGTATTAATCAAACAAAGAAATTAACCCGAAAATAAATGAAAGAATGAAGAATCACCTAAATGTAATTTCTGCCAGGCTGCTCTAACTATAAAACATATTTTGTTGGAATGTGGAAACTTAAATTCAATTGGACAACATTTTAATAAGAAGAGTACTTTGGACATTTTTAAAAAGGTACCCCCAGGAAGAGTTTTACATTTTTTTTAAATCAAAAATCAAGCTGAAAAATCGTATTTAACTTTGAATAATTTTTGTGTGAATTTTATCTATTTATATTTTATATATTTGTCTAAGTAATTTTTTTTAGTGTAATATGAATTTGTTTTTATCATGTAATATTTTATGTATATTCATTTGGCCACAAAATAGCCATAAGTTGCTGATGTGTAATAAATAAATTAATTAATTAATCAAACAAAGGATAATGAAACCATTCACTCTACTCTTGACTAAATAGGCTACTGAATTGAAGAAATGGATCTTTTATTTAATTTAAACAGTGAAGATACAGTTTGCAGGGCTGTATTTGATTTTCAGTTTGTGTAATTGTCTAACTACTGTCAGGTACACTTTTGTTTTAGTAATATATTTGCAATATTGTATTTTGCTTGTAGTATTTTTATTTTAATTTATTTGTTTTACTGAACATGTCATATACCCAATTGTACCGAACTGTGCAAACTCTGTATTTTTACACTCCTACAGAATAATAGTGTTTGCATGTGCATTTAGGGATATTTGTCTTGAAAATATTAACTTAAAGACTCTCACTATACCTATTTTTGACTTGAATCATACATTCAGCTTCAGTCATCATGAAATAATTAAGTCAAATTTTTGTCTTATTTCAATGTTTACTCTTCTACGCTACTACTACTAAATACTTACTTTATAAAAACAATAATAGGATAGAAATACATAAAATTCAGTTTTAGACATGCTCACAATAATGAAATACCATTCTAATGTATTCTGACTTGTACTTATGGGCACAAATGGTAAAAAATGTTGTTGTAATGAATTGTAAAGATTTCAAATGTCTCTGTTGCTATACTGAATGGCACTCTCAGAGTGTCTTCTGAAAATCATGGAAAAAATCTGTTATTTAATAATAATGCATAATATTTATTGACATATTTTTTGCTCAAAAGGAAGCGATGAAAGGCAAAACATAAAGCTAAGTTTAAAGGTGCACTATGTAAGTTTGCCACCCACTGGTTGAACTAGGTGTTGCGTTTGTTTTGATCCAGGAGTGCAAGCGCAGGTTGCCAGATTGGCAACCAAAAGGAATGAGTCTGACCATCGAGCCTAAAGGCTGATTTAAGATGTAGTCTAATTAAATGCAATGGCACGCGATAGAAGCAATATTTTACATATCAAAAGGAGCTTTTGTCCTAATCAACACCTGAAATTTATATTTTAGAAATGGCCTTTATTTCTTGCAGCTGAGCAACAGGATAAACTGATTAGCTCAGGTACAACTCATGTGCTTTATTCAGTGGTAAATGTTAATAATCTGAGTTTGAATGTCATTTAACATGACATTTATTGCCATATTACTGATAGCAGCAGCAGATAGTTCACCTCAGATCTTGAAAATAAAATAAACCGTCTGAAATTGAACTTCAGAACTGTGACTCAGTGCCAACACATATCAGTGATTTAGCATGTAAATTTAATAATGTTAAAGAGGTTTGACAACCAAATTGCTGTTCACTGTGTATCGTGTCACACAGCGTGTTGTAAGGGGATACAATGTAACCTTCTCACCTAATCTTTATGCTTGTAATATTTATATTATTGGCTAATTATTACCCTCATGTGGATATCTGAGTCTGCATCTCATTTCAGACTTGGTATTGTCCACCGGAGGTCGCAACAAGGCAACCCCGGATGCTGATATATGTTGTCTAAAGTGACATTGGGCGGGTTTTAATAACCAAAACAAAGACTTCCATTCTGGCATGTAACAGACATTTTCAAAGCAGAAAATCTGACTTCAGCATTGTTTTTCAGATAAACAAGAATGTTCACTGAGCATGCTTCTTAAACATCTGCAAACATATTGGGTCCTATCATACACCCGACGCAATAAGGCGCAAGATGTGTTTGCCCCTTTGCATTGCTATTTTCAGACCAGCGCAACTCTAGTTTTCCTGTTTTGCGCTTGTTGTTTAAATAGCAAATCCATTTGCGCCATTTTGTTGACTCAAGGGTGCTCCTGTCTAGGAAAGAGGTGTGTTAACGCGCATTAGCCGCGTTTCCACTATCGCGCCTAAAGCGAGCGAGCCAGGGCGAGCCAAGGCCAGTGGGGTTTCCACTGTCACTTCCGGGGCCTGATCGGGCCAAAGCGGGGCTTTCTTGGGGCCAGCGGCCGGCCTTTTTCGGCCCGCCGAATACCTTGGGCCAAGGAGGGCCAGCTGGGGCTTCGGGGCGGAGTGAAAGGAGAGGCGGGCAGTTTTCTGATCGCACATGAGTACATGTGCCAAACAAATATAGAAATAAGGGAAAGAAAACATCTAGCCTTATAGTCTGGGGTCTTTTTGCGTATAATCACCCTTATGTTTCCCTTTTAAATGTAAGGCTGCTGCATAAAATAATAAAGTAGTTTTAATTTATAGTGACGTTCTTTGCTGCGTCCTCATTTATGTTTCAATACGCATAATAATCTTTACACCATATTAAAAACACAGCAGACAGTAAAGGTTTTCGAGAGTTTTTGTCAAGTTTAAAAGGTGTGTTTGTGCGCGTTTAGATGCCTGTATGTGTGTGTGAGACCGGGCTAAAGCGCTCCTTCACAGCTCCGTTATGCCGCGAGCGGCTTTTTTCTTTATTTATTTTGGAGATAATACACAATAAAAATAAAACAGAAGGACATAAAACTTAACAAAATACGTGCCCACTTTCGTAGACTTTAAACAATATAGTGTCATATCTAGATAAAATAGCCTAAGCTATAATGAAATATAATTTAAAGAATTACAAATATCGGATAAATATAAAATCACATTAAATAAACAAACCAATATAAAATAAACAAAAGCTAGCTATATGTAGGTAGCCTATATACAACACATAAATCGAACCGTTTTAAAGCCACACATATAGCCTATAACTTTCATTTTACAAAGACTGTCTGAAAAAAAAAGATTTTCGATATTTTATAAAAACAATTAACACCGGAGAAGGTTTGAAATATTATTTATAAAGTATTTGAATACGATGATATTAATCAAATCGCGCAAACAGAGCATTATTTGGGTGAGTGAAAGCAGAATCTCCTATACCTTTTTTTCTGTCACCCAGTCCTGCGCAGCGCTCGCTGCTTTAAACGCATATGGGGGAAAGTCCAAACACAAAATGGGTTCTATATAGGCCTACTCAAACAACTGTTTATGTTTTTATATGACGTGGTTAAATTTATAAATGAAACTTTAAATGAAGAGCTTTAGTGAATAGCTGCCGAGCGCAAAAATATGGCTATATTTTATAAGGCTACTCGCTCTTATGCTGAAACACTTAACACGACTTCTATCAAAACGAGGATGTTATAAAATACATGCAATATCGAGTTATAAAGGAGAATTTCTGTGGATTTATATTATGGATGTGTGCGCTCTCTGTGATGGGTCCCTGCGTTCGGCGAGAGCAGTCGATGAACAATGCCAGTTGGTCGGCGAGTAAACAAATGTAATGAATGGAAATACACAGGTCTGTGCGTATAGACATTTCATGTACTGCTGTACAGTAACGTGTCATTTGTTTGTTTCGGTTGTCTTCATTTTAATGGTTTCGTTTCGTGATGATTATATGGTGTGCTTTATCTGAAGTGGGCGGGTTGTGTGACGTTTGATTCGGGGACGTTCTGTGGGCGGTGTTTGCGTGACGCGCTGTGAGCTATTAGCCCGTCAGTGGAAACGCGACATGATTTCGGCCTCATTTCTCAACCTCCCGGGCTATTGGCCCGGCCCGGCCCGATTAAAGCCCTGGCTCGCACTGGCCCGATAGTGGAAATGCGGCTATTGTTGGTGCGTTGCAACTTGAAGGAACTAAAATAGACTGTGCAATAGACCAGCTGAAAGCGAGTCTAAATTCCAGCACAGAGTGCATTAGTTGTATAAACTTCTTAGTCGTTTACACATTACTTTAAACACACAGAATGTACAGCAATACGTAAATATCTGTTCCACCAACTGTTGCACCAACAGTGCGCCTTAACACACCTCTTTTTTAGACAGGAGCACCCTTGAGAAAAAAGAATGAGAATGAAGGGAATCAAATTTTATAAACATTATTATTTTCTACATGAATATAAAAACCACTGCCTTCATCCCTTCTTCATCTCGGGGGGCTTTATCAGTTTATTCACGACAACTTGCCTTTGTATAATGTTATTATTATTAACATCAATATTTATAATATGCATATTTGTATTTGTTTTATTAAAAACAAGCTTAGATTTGTCCACCTGTCAGGTTTTAGACCATATGGGGCACAGCATGTGTGTTTGAATATAACTCAGTTTTTTTACCATACTTTGTTAATACTGTTCATTTATTCGTTTGCTGGAAATGAGAACTGAATTTAGAAATAGTTTAGAAACAAATCTTTGTGCTCAACAAAATAAATTAATTATGTAGGCTAATGGCGAGTTCAGACTGCATGATTTTCAAAGTAGTCGTGTCACAGATGTTTTCACACTGCTTGACTATCTGGGCTAGCGTTTCGTCGCTGCTTTGTTTACACTGCAAGATGGATCGGCGACAGGGACATTCACATTTCATGACTTTACTATAGGAAGAATCGCCGACAACTTCGTCCAAACTACGTCTCATAGCCAAAAACACGTCGTATATCTTTTGTTATTAACTACATAATGAGAAAGAAGCCTTTAATGGGGTAGAGCATGTACATATTTGCTCACCTGGGTTTAAAGGGAATTAGCCATTTCTCCTCAACGTTGATGATAAACTAATTTCTTTCTGTATGAAACGTCAAACAGACACGGTTGCTTCTGAGTCCTGTCAAACCTCCACTTGTTTTTCCTCCATTTTGTGGGTCCAAATAAACCGAAAAAGAGCGCTTTTAACTTCTCCCCCAGCCTCCCGCTGGCCTGCAGCAGGTATACACACACGCACACACACACACACACACACACACGCACACACAAGTGAAAGCTGCTCTCTCATTGGCTGTAGGCGATGGCTGATGTTATTTTTAGTCAAAACTCAATTCACACGGCATGATTTGAATCGCCGACAGCTCCAGATATTCAGCACGCCAAATATCTCACAGGCATTGGCGACTCATCAGCGATTCTCTCAGATCGCGTCTTTGATAGTTCATACTGTGTGATTGTCACTCACGTGCACGAGCAGCGATTTGCCTGTGATTTCAGGCATTTGTCGGCGATTTCTCAAAACCTGTCGGCGAGCCAAAATCAGGGCTAA